GGCAAAAGACAAAGAGAGAATCTTAAAAGCAGCAAGAGAAAAGCAGTTAATTACCTATAAGGGAGCACCCATATGACTGACAGCTGATTTCTCAACAGAAACTTTGCAGACCAGATGGGAGTGGCAAGAAACATTCAAAGTGATGAATAGTAAGGACTTACAGCCAAGATTATTCTACCCTGCAAAGCTCTCATTCTGCAGTGAGCAATAATGTACATATATCTTATGCATGTGTATGAATATTTCTACAGGAAAAATTCAAGAATTTTTTTTTTTTTAGTTCAGGGGTATTTGCATTTAAGCTGGATAGGTATTCAAATAACCCTATAAAAAGTTTGTGTCAGTTGGCACTTCCAAAATAGTGTATGATGTTTCAAAATTTAGAGATCTCTTCCCACTACACTTATTAAGTGCCTTCTGTGTACTTTAGATACTGTACTAGGCTCAGAAAGTTGAAATGCAGTCTGTTTAGTAAGAGGAAGATCTGTTGGTGAATTACTGCTCCTTTGGGACTAAGAGCTTTTACCCTTTTAGAAACAGGAAACTGCAAGCTGGTGAGGTATTTAGTTTCAAATTAGCTTAATGGAAACCTGGTAGTGAGTTTTAAAATAAGGACCAAGACAACTGAAATGGTAAAGGAAGTCTCCTGGGCCCCAGGCAGAAGGATGCAGTGTCTGTGGGTTTATGTGCTTCGAAGAGCCCCTCTTTCCAGGAACAATCATGTTTCAGCGTTTAACTCTTCGTGGAGATGTGAACTGTTGAAGGGTCTAGTCATTCCTGTGGTGGGTGCTTCCTAGTAGACAAAGGGCCACATAGTCCTGTGTGGCTAAGGGCAGAGGAGGGAGGGCCTAAAATGGAAGTATAATACTGTCAGCTACCATGTTCTGGACACAAACTCTGGTCAGCCAACACTGACCTTTTTGTGCATCAACTCATTTAATCCTTCTAACAAGCCTATGGTTGTCTGAAAGAGTGTCGTCATGATGCTTATTTTAAAGGTAAGAGTACTGAGGTTCAGAGAAGGCAAGTTTAGAGTTATAGAACAAGCAGAGTGGGGACTCAAACCCTGGTATAGTTGACTTCAAAGCCCACATTTGGACTTCATGGGTACACGTACTTTAAAAAAATAAATCTTCATGATAAGAACAGCTTAAGAATTTTTTATTTCCTTACCCCTAAAATATGCTCAGGGACAAATGGGTTGCTTATACTATTCTATGATTCATATATCAAAACAGCTCTAAGTGAAGGTAAATGCCCAATGGGTGGCAACAATAATCATATTACATTGACCAAAACTTTTATTTTCATAGCATCCTCCCACTGCTGTGGGAAGAAAGGAGTCAGAGATGAAGTGGATGCTGTTAGGGAACTTGGGATTCATCTCATGACTGAGGGTGTCTTTGGAGGCTTTAAATCAGGAGAGTGACATGATCAGATTTGTTTTAGAAAGATCACTTATAAGTAGTGATTAGTTAGGGTTCAAATCTTGGTTATTGTTAGTCAGTTACCTGATCTCTCCATGCCTCAGTTTCTTATCTGTAAAATATGAATAATGATAGCTCCAGCCCCATAGGATGTTTGTGAAGATTAAATGAGATAATTAAAAAAAATATAAATTAGTGACTGTCCCAGAATAAGTACCCAATAACTCAACATGATGATAATGATATAATTATTCTTAAAATCAGGGAAATCAAATGTAGTTAGGCAAGAGATAATAAGGGCTTAAATTAAAAGGGGTATAACTGGAAAAGATAGGAAAGATATAAAAGAGAATTGTTAGACTTTGAAATCTGATGCTAATGGGAGGGTGAGGAAAAGGCAGATTTCTTTGATGGCTCCCAATTTCCAACCTGGGTAACTGAATGGATGGTGGTGGGCTGAGTGAGATGGGAAATACTAGAAAAAAATAGAAGTTTGGGGTGAAAAAAAGAATATGATGATTGGAGTGGATAAAGAACATAATAAGGTCAGTTTTTAAGACATTGAGTTTGAATACTCTGTCATCAATTTAAATGTGAGGTTCTGGAAAATCCAAGCTACAGAAATAGATTTGAGCTTTACCATAAGGTAGAAGATGAAGTTATGGGTGGGAATATTCTACACACTCCCCAAGAGAGGACAGTGTAGAATAAGAAGACTATAGGGTCAAGCACACATTCCTAGAGGGGTCAAGGATGTTGAGAAGAACTATTGGAGAGATTAGTGACATGGAAATAAAGTTGGATAAGTTGGAGCACTCAGCAATGTCAGGTCCTATAAGAGAATTGAGAAGTGACTAGTAGGCAGCTGTGTTGTTACCAATTGCTGCCCTTAGGATGCTCACACTAAAAGCTCACACTAGAATAGAAAAATGCGCTAATATGAAGGAATTCAGTCTAGGACATCTGTCATCCCGTTGATCGCCTGGGTTAATTTGGCTGCCATGGTGGGAGGGAATTGGGGGATGGTTCCTCTTTCTGCATCACTCCTTGGCCAAATAGAATGATCTGTCCAACAGTAGAGGACCTTCTTTGGTTAATAGTACAGAATGGTGGACCTCCCTTGCTGGAATTTCCAAGCTTCCGTCTATACATAATACTGCAGTATTGTGTTGCTTTTTGTAATATGGTCCCTATTTGCAGACCAAAACCCAGAGACAACAGAATGTCTATTTGACCAGCTCCTGTGGTAGGAATGGAAAGTGGAGCAGAGCTTTGCATAAAGTGAGAAGGGGGGAGTAGCGGGAGGGAGGAGGAAGGTGATGACATGTCAGTGTTAGAGGAAGGACAGTAGAGGCTAGTTGGGTAGGGTTTTGTTAGGCAGAGACAGTGGGAGCAGGAAGTGGGGAGGGGGAAGTTGGCGTTCCTGGGAAGGAGAAATGGTCAAAGCAAAGTATGGAGGCGGGAAGGCACAGGCCAAGCTCAGGAAATGTGAGCAGCCTCTCTGGGCATCTTCAAGTCCTAGCACATGCAGGGTGGAAGAGCAGGCTGGAACCAAGACTTGCGGCCAGATGGTAGAGTTCTGAGGGCCAGGGCGGGGAGTTTGGACTTCCTTCTTCCGTGGTTTGATGGCTTCTGGGAGGAATCATCAAAAACTTCTCAGGAATTCAGGCTTGTCTATCTCAGGCTTCTCCTTCTGAAGACCAAGGGCCCAAAGTGGCAGCCTGACAGTCAATCTCCGCCATGGTTGGGAAGTCAGGGCTGTAGCTGATTTCATTGGCCTGTTTTGCATTTATTATAGTGTGGCTTTTATAGTGTGTTAATTGAAATATGTCCAACTGCCAAAAACAATTACACTCAAATTGCCTTGTCAGTTCTTTTATTGCCAGATAAATGTTTTACAGACATATTTATGGGGGCAGTGGTAACTGGATCTCATTTTCTATTTAAAGCTGGCAGTTTGGGTTGTGATTGGCCCTCCAGGGCTCTGATGTGGGCCAGAAAGCTGTTGGGCATTGTGGCGCTTCCATTTCGTTACTGTAGGGATCAGAGGCCCTTCAAGGGAAAGCAGCTTTCTGGCTCATGCAGCTTAGCCTCAGAGAAGGGTTCCCATCATTGGAAACCTTGGTAACCTGGCAGAAATCTGAATCCTGCTGCCTGCCCTAGCAGCAACAATCTCAGCTCAAGCTGAGACATACTCTATTCCCCCCCTTCCCCTTCCCCCTCCCCAATCCTCTTTCTCCCCTCCACCACCAAAACCTCTCCCACAGACCCTATCACGTAAGGCTGTAAGAGTCCATCTAGTCAAATGCCCACAGTTTACAATTTGGGAAACTGAAGCCTAAAGACTTCCCTAAGGTCAGACAGGTAGTCACTGAGAGCTGGGAGCAGAGGTCTCTTTCTCTGCTGCCACCAACATATGCCCTTTGGCCTCTCTGCTACCGTGCCCCCAGTGCTCTAGGCTGGCTTTCTCCTGGAGCCCCTCCCTCACATTTCCAGCCTTCACTGATCTCCCTCTTGTTGGGTCATCTGAAACACCTATTGTTCTATGTAGCTACTGCAGGGTTTTTGTTTGTTTTTACTATCTCTTTCATCCTCTTGACTTTTTACATGCTGTATTCTTCTGAAAAGCACTTCTGAAAAACATTTTCTCCACTTTTATACCCCTACCTGTTCTTGGATACCCAGCTAAGAAATTTCCACCTCTAGAAGCCTTGTGCACCCAAGGCTGGGTAGGTGCCTCCATGCATCCCTACAGCACGATGTGCGTACGTATTTCTATTACTGGCACAGAGCAGGCTTCCAAAGGAACATACGCTGAATGAGTAAGTAAATGATGAGCACTGATCATACTCTGCCCTCCACGGACCCTGAGCAAACTGGGATAGGGACATCATCTCTCTTTGTCTTTGTCCCACTGCTTAGCTTAGTGCCTGACACATGCATAGATGCGAAACAAATGTTTAGCAAGTTGAATTGAGCACGTTAGAACTGGAAGGTCATCACATCCAATTCCATGCACTTTACTGATAAGGAAACTTAGGCCCAGAGAGAAAAAACATTTTTTTTTTTCAGGGTCATGATTACTAACAGGTTTGATGGCATTCATTCATTTATTTAACAAGTATTTTTGAACACCTACTATATTGTGAGCCAGCAGTGTACAAAGCAAAGTCCATGCTCATAAAGTACTTACAATCATCCCCAGTGTTTAGGAATCTAGTCTTCCCTTAAAAATCCCCTTAATGCCTAGTACAGAGCTAAGCACTTAAAATAGTCTTTAAAAAAAGGATCTGTTGAACTCTAGCTACAAATAAGATGTGCCCAGTGCTAAGTTACCTGGCTGCTCTCCATGGATCAGTCCCAGTGATGGTGGAATGGGGTTGCCTGAGATACAAGGCTTCCTAGGCTGGGCTAAGAAGCACATATTGCCACCGAGAGGACTATTTTTGAGATTTGGAAAAGCTCAATGTCCCCTCTCTGCAAGGTCCCTGGGCAGAAGCCTCCCCGTAATACTATCTCTGATACCCCCTGGGAGATTTGCTGATGACTTACTTTCTGTTTCCTTTCTTTCAGAGCACCACTACGGCCAAAGGATCCAGGAAGAGAGTAAGTACTGAAACCACCACAATCTCTCAACAGGAAGCGAATAGCACTATATATTTTTTAGAAAATTCAAATGAGCAAAAAGAACATTAAAATCACTCTTAAACCTACCACCCGGGAACTTCTTAGTTAATATATGGTATTATATTCTCCCAGATATTTCCATGCATATATAAAATTACATGTATTTATTTTTAAATAGAATTTTAAATTGCATATGTTATTTTATAATCTTCTTTTTACATGATATATTAGAGTGCCTTTCATTGGCAGTAAATATACTTTTATAGCATCATTTAAAATTACTGCATAGTATTTTATTATATATTCCTTAAGGCCATACCATATTCAATTCATCCATGTGATGTTCCCTTTTTACACTAATATAATCAATCCTTCAAAAAACATTCATGCATTTAAGTCTTTGGGCATATATGGGGTTATTTTTTTTAATATACATTTTTATGCATAGAAATCTGACTTAAAGAGTATAAACACTAAAAAAAAATAAGGAGTATAAACACTTATTGGGCTTTTGTTAAGTAGTTCCAAATTGCTCTTTTATGGGCATGATAATTTATAGGTGCTCATTTTCTCACAGCCTCACCCACCTTGGATATTAGTTTTGTTTGGTTGGTTTTCTTTTCTTTTCTTTCTTTCTTTCTTTCTTTCTTCCTTTCTTTCTTTCTTTCTTTCTTTCTTTCTTTCTTCCTTCCTTCCTTCCTTCCTTCCTTCCTTCCTTCCTTCCTTTCTTTTCTTTTCTTTTTTTTTTTGTGCCAGTTTTATAGTTAAAAACTGCATTATCTTATTTTGTACATCTTTACCTGCTTGTGACAGTGAATATTTTTTATTATGTCATGGACCACCTTGGCAAGGTGTTCAACTGTCTATCAGGAAAAGGAAAAACTTCTAGTCCTTGCTTTATTTTATTTTTTATTTTTTTGCTCCAAGGATCTGATGAGGCTTAAAGTTACCAAGTACTGAACATATTGCTGTAAGAGTAACCTTAAGGTGGCAAATTGGAAGGTAAAATAGGAATGAAAATTGAAGTAGCTTAAAGAACAGCAGGATTTCCTTTCATTCTGCATAAAGCCCTGTCTTTGGCAGCCTATCCTGGCCACCACTTTCTGGGCTGTGTGGGAGACGGTAGGGAGGAGCCACCTCTGGTCCACCACTGGGGCCAAGGGCCCACCACAGTGCTCCAGCTAAGCTATGACTCCTCGGGCTGAGGTGGCCATGATCTTAAAGGCAATGTGAACTCTGGCCTGAGCATTTGCTTTGGGCTCTTTCATGAGTGGTCTGTTGCATATTTTCTATTCTATGTATCAGGGCAGAGCTTGGCTTCCGGGGTTTCTGAATGAGGGGCTTCCTGCAGCATGCTCCCTTTTTCAAGCAGATTGGGCATTCCTGATCCTCATGAGGTTTTTGTCCAGGATGAAGATTCAGGAACTGATGTGGGAGAAGGGGCAGATGACTGGGCCCAGGCCAAAACCACGATCAGACCCCCTGACCAGCTGGATTTGACTGATGCGGTGAGTTAGTAGCATCCTACTCTTGTTCCTTTCACCTCCTCCAGCTTCAGAGTGTATTGTTCCATAATACTGATTATGAGCCTGCACAGAACCTGGGTGTGAGATGTCTGCTGGCCCCCTGGGAGATTCCTCCCAAGCCTCAGAGAGGGGTGAGGCCCTCCATGTATGACCCGCTTGGTATTTCTTTTCCTTAGGAGCTAAAGGAGGAGATTACCCGAATTCTGACAGCCAACAACCCACATGCACCCCAGAACATCGTCAGGTACAGCTTTAAAGTAAGTCATCCCTCTGGGGCAGGCACCTCTAGATGCTCCTTGGTTGGCAGTGATTTGCTGCATTGAGAAAGCCTCTCAGTCGTTACAGAGGTTGGCTTTAAACTGAGCTCTTTGGCTGGGACTCTGAGATTTTACATGGAATTTTCCAGAGATGTTTGAAATTTCTTTTTGAATCTCCCTTTCAGTCTTGCTAATTGCATTGTCTTAAGCGCCTTGTCCAGCCACTCTTTTCAAGGAGCCTGAAGTCAATCATTTGGTTAGAAAAATATGTTTCCAACGTGTATAAATACATTTCCCACTAAATCAACTATTGGGTCTTTGGAAGCTGAGTCGTCCTCTAGCCAGACACCTAGGTGGAGTGCAAGCTCCCCTCCGGGCAGGAGCTGGCCTTTGCCCCCAGCATTCCTGCTTGGGAGAAAGCCCCAGTAGGCTCTGTTCTCGGTGTTCAGGTAGGCAGCTGACTCCATCAGCGCCTTCCCTCGGTGCATGTGGTATGGGCACATTCTCACTTAGTAGACACTTACGTGGCACATCTTTAAGGGGGACTACACTGTTTTCAGCCATTAGCAAAGTCAGCTCCTGTGAGTACTGACTGAAGAAAACTTCTAAGCACAATCTGAGTAAGGTGGAAGTGTGTGTGTGTTTTTTATTATCTTTTTAAAAATATATATTTTATTGATTTTTCACAGAGAGGAAGAGAGAGGGATAGAGAGTCAGAAACATCGATGAGAGAGAATCATCGATTAGCTGCCTCCTGCACACCCCTCCCCCCCGGGGATGTGCCTGCAACCAAGGTACACGCCCCCGACTGGAATCGAACCCAGGACCCTTCAGTCCGCAGGCCGACGCTCTACCCACTAAGCCAAACCTGTTTCGGCTTTTTTATTATCTTAAAGATCCATTTGTTCCATACTTACTGTGTGCTAGTGATAGGTCCTATATTAGACCTTTTACATATATCTCAAATAATCCTCAGGTTTCTTTAATATAAGAACTTTTTGTCATTGTTGTCAATCCTCACCAGAGAATGGAAGAATGGAAGGGAGGGAGGAGAAGAGGAAGGGAGGGAGGAGAAGAGGAAGGGAGGGAGGGAGAGAGGGAGGGAGGGAGGTGAGATGAGAAAGAGAGGTGAAGATACATCAATTGATTTCTTAATTTCTTCCTATATGCACTCTCCTATATGGGCTGATAATGGAATCTGCAACCCAGGTACATGCCCTTGACCGAGAATTTAACCTGAAACCCTTCGGTGTGAAGGCCAACGCTCTAACCACTATGAAACACCGGCACTATTTTTTACCTTTATTTTATGGAAACTGAAGTTAATCTAGAAAAAACAAATGACAAAGGTCATACCAGGATTCAAAGCAAGATTTAAACTAATTTGTCTGACTCTAAAGCAACATTACACTTCTTCTTTAAATATATATATATATATTTAATAAATATATTAATTCTTTAAATATAAATATATATATAATTATTTTGAATATATAATAGAAACCCATGGTATCAATTTCAAAAGATTCAAAAGTACAGTGAAAACTAAACCTTCCCCAATCCTGTCCTTTTCCCTAGAGACCACCACTATTAATAGTTTCTTTCTCTAAAAAATCCCACAGTTTGATTGAGATATAATTCATATACAATGCAATCACCCATTTAAAGTGTACAATTCAATGACTTTTAGGATATTCTCAAGTTGTGCAACTATCACCACAACCAATTTTGGTGTGCGGCAGAATTTTAGTAATTAGTTTATGTGTGTCATAGATAGAAAGGTTGAAAAATCCCTGATCTAGGGGAATGAGACTATAGGCTTCATGAAAGCAGGGGTTAGGCCGAAACCGGTTTGGCTCAGTGGATAGAGCGTTGGCCTGCAGACTGAAAGGTCCTACGTTCAATTCCGTTCAAGGGCATGTACCTTGGTTGTAGGCACATGCCCAGTAGGGGGTGTGCAAGAGGCAGCTGATCAATTTGTCTCTCTCATCGATGTTTCTAGCTTTCTGACCCTCTCTCTTCTTTGTAAAAAAATCAATAAAAAATATATATTAAAAAAAAAAGAAAGCAGGGGTTAGGTCTGTTTTTGCTAAGCTTTATATTCCTGGAACCTGGGAACTACTGGTACATTGTATCTATTAAAAAAAATATTTGTTGAAAAAGGAACGAAACAGGTTCCCTGGGCTTTAAGGTTATCCCTGCTTCTAATTTGCTATGTGACCTGAACAAGTGCCAAACCCCAACTTTTTCTACAATTTTTTGGTCCTCTTTTATGAAAAAGGGGAATTATGGATTTGGTGTCTCAGAGGTTTTTTTCCAGCCCGGGCATCCACTAAATACATGGAAAGAAGGCCAGGCCAGGTGTGTCTGACGACTAAGTGACCTGAGGTGTGTGGTGAAGCAGGTGAGCCAGATCTCTCAGCATAGATGTAGGAGCCAGTGATAGGTAAATCCAGAAGTGCTCAAAGTTGGAAGGAGAGGTATTTAAAAATACATCTTTAATGAGAACTTAAAAAGATTAGCAAACTTTATTCCATTTTCTTCCTCCTCTTTATACTGGAATGCATTGAAAACTTCAGGCTAACTGAGGATCTGGTGAGTTATATTTCTGTTAACAAACTGTGTTAGGCCTTAGAGAATGAAGACAGACTACATTCTGACTCCAGCCCTTTTGAGGACACTTGGTCTGACTCAGCCCCATCTCTTCTCAGGAAGGCACTTATAAGCTTATTGGTTTTGTGAACCAACTAGCCGTTCATTACAGCCATGTGGGGAACCTGATCCCCAAAGACTCAGATGAAGGACGGCGGCAGCACTACCAGGATGAGTTAGCAACAGGTAGGCCTCTGGGCAGCCTGAGGCTGCAGCCTGGTCCCCTTTCTCTGGTTCCTCTAGGCTAGGGAGTACATTGCTACATCAGAAATCTTCAGGGTATCTACTTATGTAAAAAAATCCAACAGCTGGCTGCCCTGGACAGGTCTGGAAGCTAACCCATGAGGCTCAGGCTGAGAAGAACCCTGGGGCAGGTGGGGTCTGAAAGGCAGGAACCCAGAAGGGGATGGGAAAGTGGGCCTGAACTTGGAGCTCATTACCACTGTCCTACCAAGGTTCTCAGGAGTCTGCCAGGTTGGTGTATTCAGACACAGAAAACCTTGAAGAAGAAGAAGAGACCAAGGAAGGAGAAACTGAACCTGAGAGTCAAACAGATATTCATACAGCTGAGGTACACTGTAGTATTGCTCTCCAACCTACCTACCCATGCCTTCCCGCTCCAGCTGTAGGTGGAGGCTTCAAGGCTGACTTATTGAGGGTGGGGCTGAAAGGGAGAAGTCAGAGGCTGCAAGTACCAGTGCCTCTGACATCATCACCCTGTCCCACTACCATCCTATTCCAGGATATGATGTCTCCCCACTCCCAATTCCCTGCCACCTTTTTCTCATGGCTAAGTCCTGATCCTGTGCGTCTCTCCCTCCTCACCCCCCTCCAGGCATCTGAAAAAGTGATTGAAGAAGAATTGATGACTCCTAAGCAGCCCAAGGAGAGTAAGCTTACCAACCAGTTCAACTTCAGTGAGAGAGCTTCACAGACCTTCAACAACCCTCTCCGGGTACAGCCCCCGCCCCGGCCACTTTATCTCACAACTCTGCCCTGTGCATGGGAGGGAAGAAGCAGGCCTGGCCCAGCCTCAACTTCAGCCTTGGCAGGGTGACAGGATAGGCACCATGGTTATTCTCTCCAAGAAGAGCTGGGAACATGTGTTTAGGTTTATAAGTCATCCAGGCAGGAGTTCAGAGGAAGTAACAAGGAGACTGAAGCCCTTCACTAAGACAGTGAAGCGTGAACTGCCCTTGAGGAGGTCAGAATCTGGGGAAGAGACAGGAGGCCAGATGTGCCAGGAGGTGAGGCTAGGTGCCAGTTTGACCAAAGTTGACAGTCTTTGTGATAGCCTAGCTGAAGAGGGCTAGACAAGTTCCCTGGCTCGTAAGCATGGAGGAGGAGGGCCCTGAGCACCAGGCTGAAAGAGCCTTTCAGGATTTCAGGTGAGAGACTCACATGTCCCAGGCAGTGTTCTACAGAAATGAGTCTGTGAGTGGAGGCCAGAGGTCTACAGGGTGGTTTTTTTGGCAGCTCTTAATCACCCTCTGTAGTCCCTATGCTGACACTTGGAAATCTAGGTGGTACACAATGGGAGGGAGTATATTTTCCTGGTGGAGCCAGAGACCCCAGTGTTAGGGAGAAGGCTTCTCAGGGTAAAGGTTATTAATTAGCCCAATGGCATGCCAGAGACAAACCTCTTTGTCCTGGTCTGGAGCTGCCACAGGCCTAATTTATTGCAGGTCTGTCCATACCCTGCTTGGAGTTTTTGTTGGTTGAAACTGGGACAATCAGGCTTCACTACCCCTGTTCTCTAGCTTAGGCTTCTTCTGAGGAGGCTTGGGTGGAAAATGTAGACTTTCACTGCATCATTTGCTACTTTTTACTTCCCTGGCTCTGGCCCTGGCCCTCTTTACTTCCCCTGTTCTGTGTCCTAATCTGCCCTCAGCTCTAGCAGAAATGCTTCACCCATGGACAGTTGGGTCTCACTGAGATAAGTGAGAAGGAGCTGAGGGCTTCTTGTGGGTTTCCTGTTGTCATTGTTCTCTAGGACCGAGAATGCCAGATGGAACCTCCTCCCAGGACAAACTTTTCAGCCACAGCCAATCAGGTGAGACCCTGAACCAGTCTAAATATCATCACCTTCTCCTATCCTCCCTGCCCTTTTGCCCATGCATACTCTTCTGGCTTGGTGACAAAAATTCTGCCCTCCTCATCCATCCACCCCCTGCTCCTTGTTCAGTCTTTGAACACCATGCACATGAGACACCCAGCAATCTCTAGATCAGACAGTAGATCCCCACCCAGTGATCCCTGGATCAGTCACATGCCCCCCAGGGCAAGGCTGACCAAGGGGCAAGGAGGCATGGCTTCTGGAAGTTCCTTTAAGACCAGGGGAAAACATGTGTTCCCATGGGCTCTCTGTAACTCATGGCATCCCATGGCTGACTGAAGCATTGACAGTCTAACTCTGCCCTTCCAACAAACTTCAGTGTTCCTGCTGACCCTCCTCCCCACTTCTCCCAAGTCCATTTGAATAGGCATGGTGATTTAGGCAGGATATGGTGACAAGAGAACTGAGTTCAGGTCCCAACTTTGCTCTCATACTGTAAGATCCTGGCCAAACCATGCCATCCTTAATGCCTGTTTCTTTCTCTGTCAAGTGAGGACCACAAGCAGCCTGACAGGGTTGTTAGAGGGCTCAGACTGAGATATCATTGAAGTACATGGCAGTGCAGAGTACTGGCCCGTGGGTGAATTATTAAATGTAAGGTGTGCCTATCTGGCCTCCAGGTGGCAGTGATGGCCCAACTCTGGAGAGCACACAATATGATCTAGGCCATTTGCCCAGCCTCAGGCCCTTGCTGCTTCCTCTGCTACTATTCTTAGGCTTCTTTTCCTATCAGATACAATTAGCAGGGGTTCCCTAACTTTTTATCTTTTTTATGCTGAGAAGGGTATGGTCAGTGCTGTGGACAGCTGGCCTGAGCCAATAAATTTATCCCATCTTCATGGGGGATTTTTTTTTTTTAATTTTCTAGTTCATAGTTGTATAAATCAATGAGAATAATGTGAGCTAGCCTGATATTTGCCCATTTGTTTTGCCTGGTGAGGATTGTAGGCTGGAACAATACTGCTCTCCAGCTGACAACCAAACCCCTGGGGCGCAGGACTGAAACCCCAGCCCAGAGATGTTCTGAAAGCTCCTTCATTTCTGTCCTAGGCTGGAAGGGAAGATAGATGTTGAATATATAATTACAGTGGGCCAAATACAGTGAGCCAACATGTGGAGGCATGTGACACGGGTTGATGTGATCAACTCCTCAAGACCTAAAGGCTGAAGAGGACCTGACTGGCTGAAGTTTTTGCCCTGCATTGATCTTTCTCATTTTGCCCTTGCCTAGTGGGAGATCTATGATGCCTACATAGAGGAACTCGAGAAGCAGGAAAAGACCAAAGAGAAGGAGAAAACAAAGACACCAGTGGCTAAAAAAATGGGGACGATGGCCATGAGGAAGATGACATCTATGGAGTCCCAGGTTTGTGAGGGTTCCCATGGCCTTGTTAGAGAATGATTGAGTTGGCCCTTCGCCCTTAGGTAAACATAAACCTGGCTATCTGGGAGGACTTCACAGACAGGCAAAGAGGTGGGCCTAATGTTGAAGTATGAATAGTTCTTTCCTCATGAGAAGATGTGAGGAGAGCAACAACTGCCTCCAGCATTCCACACCTCCCCTAAATTTTATATGGATCTGAAGGGCAGAAGAGATTCAGTATTGTCGGGCTAAGGGACAACAGAAGATAGGAATGCTATTGAAAACCTAATGTACATCCTGGAAGAGCTGGGGAGTTTTCCCAGGGTAAGGTGGGATGTGACAATAGGGGATCTTCTTCATGGGCAGGGGCTCATGGGGTTTGGGACAGTGATTTGCTCTTTGACTTTTGGTCCTTGTGTATAATTGCACTCAATTATTAGGTGAGTCTTCAGGACCAGAATCCAGTCAGAGGTCCTGAAAATACAAGCAAATCCAAGCCAATGGGTGTGGCCACTCTGGGATGGATTTACCATGAAGAGCCATGTAGGAGTTGTTACAGAAGTCATGTTTAGGGGGCTCACTGTGGATGTAGCCAGAATAGGTTTAGCCATCCTCCTGGGAGTTACAGTAAGAGGCCACTGCAAGGAGTTTCACCAGTACATGGACCAGTAGGGAAATGAGGATGAGTTTGGCCTGCAATAGGGTGAGAAGAACAAGGTTCACAGGAAACTAGGATCTGGTTAATCTGGTTTCAGCACCTTGGAGAGCTCCCAGAAAGCACCGAGAAAGAGTGGCCCTGCTCCACCCCAGAACAGAAAAGTCATATTGGTTAAAGGAAGTTCTGCTTCCTTTGTCTGATGTATACCCACTTCCACCTCAATTCTCTGATCCTGATAAAAACCACATTTTAGGAGAAGTTTGAGGATTCCCTGCCTTGGCTCAATAAAAACTTCCCCAATTCCATTTCATTCAACCATAGACCAAATACTTGGTAATCATGACCATGTTGGATTCTGGAGGTGAAAGATGAAGTCCCTGTCCTTCAGGTTTCCCTGTACAGACCCTTGGCTTCCCCTGCACCATTCCCTTGGAGATTAGGGGCTTCAGAAGGCCTGTTGGCCTGGGTCAGGGTTTACTTGAAGATCCATCAGGGGGTTGGCTATGGGCTCTGTGCTGGGAACATGGTTACAGAAACCTTAACTGGAAGGTGGTCAGTTTGTAGAGGAACTGGCTCTCTGTGTAGGGCTGAGAATATAGGCACTGGATTCCACAGACTTGAGTGCATATCCTGGCTTTGCCACTTATTAGCTTATTAGTTTTTCTAATCCACGGAATGGGATGGGAATATAGGACTGAATGGCTTCAGAACCCATTCTCTTAATAACCACTTCCTGATACTTCCACTCCTGGTAAATCTCTTTCTCAAGAGGGATCTGACCCTCCTGGCCACTCTGGAGGACTGCCCACTCAGCTGGTTCACTCCTGCTACCTGCCCTAAACTCTTGGGTTTTTCTTGCCAGCCCCAAACTCTTTGATCCTCTAATAACCTGCTAGGTGGTTCACCTTGTGGACTTGTGGAATTCCACAGAATGATGATCTTGTCTTTTGGTTCAAAATGAGTCATTTCTTTTTCTGACATGAAACTTCCTGCTTTTTTTTTTTTTTTTTTTTTTTTTTTTTTGCTGTGGGTAGTGGATAAGGCCCTGGGATGGGTGTCAGTTCTGCCTGATACTCCTTGTGTACAAGCATGTCTTTCTCCCCTTTCTTGACCTCTGTGTCTTCCTCAACTCTGACTAAATCTCCGAGGCCTTTAACTGGAGTCTTTGTCTTTGCCTGAGCTGGTGAAATATCTCTGTCCCCACCAAAGAACCCTTCTTCCTGGCCTTGTCCACTCTCTGCTTTAATACCCTTCTTGGGCTCTCTTCAAGACCATGTCTTGTGCTCAAAGGTATTCCTTATCCGGAATAAGCTCAGAATGAAAGAGCACAGAGCAGGCTCTGCCCAGGAGCCAGGTGTGGCAGTGTAGACTCCTTGTGATACTTGTGAGCTAGGCATTTCTAGAAGGGTGTGATGGGGTGAGCTGGGCCTTAAGGCATGAAGAGATGCCTTCTGGAGCTAACAGTGGTAAGTGGTGTCAGAAAGGCATTGCTGACCCAATTGCTAGTCTGGGCCATGGCTCAGGGCATGACCTTTCATGCGCTGGCTTATGAGAGAACCTGTCTCCTCTGCCTCTCCACAGAGTGATGATATCACCAAAGTGATGCAAGCTGCTAAAATCGTAGAGCGGATGGTCAACCAGAACACATATGATGACGTTGCTCAGGGTAAGATTTGAAGTTCTGGCAACTACTGTTATAACCTGCATGAAAAATCCCTCATACAAGGTCAGTATTTGAGTGTCCTATGGTAGGTCCCATCGTTGTGAGAAGAGAACAAATAATCTATCTTTCCTCTGGATATGACTAGGAAGACAACAGGTCAGTCATGAAAATGGCATAAGAAAAAATGTGTGTATTTATGAGACCTGACAATGGTGCAGCAAAACAACAACAACAAAAAACACCTGCACATTAGTGAATCAGTGTCATCTTCCAGGAATTCCTGGGAGGCAGGCAGAGCCAAGATTATTAACCCTACTTCATGCACGAGGGAGTTCAAGCAAGGCCACCTGACTAGTGAATGGCAGAGAGGTCCCAAAACTAGGCCTTGAAATTCCTAATTCTGTGCTCTGTTCTCTACTCTGTCCTGCTTGGGGACAACATAAGTGCTAGGATAAAGAAAGAAACTTCTCTGGGAATCCTCGAGAATGGAGGAAGGAAAGCAAGGGAGTAATGGCAGCAGTCACGGCAGGCTTCAGGGAGGGATGAGCTAGACGCCCAGGGATAAGCAGAGTTTGAGTAGCAGAAAGGTGGATGTTCTGGGCAGGGGATGGCATGAACAGTGATTTGGTAGTGAAAATGAATTGCAATGGACTCTGAGGACAACAGGCAGGAGGCTCAGTGACCCAAATAGGGGCTTTGTTGGAAAGTGATGAGAGTTCAGGCTGGAGAAGGTGGTTGGAGCCAGTTAATGGAGGGCCTTGAGTGTCACACAGGGAATCTGAGCTTTCTCTGCAGATAGTTCAAAGATATTATCCAGGCAGGGATGCAGCTTGATGAGAGCAGGGCTGGGGGAAAATGTGATTGGGCAGGATACAGAGACAGAGGTTAAAGGTGAGGTACATACAGGTGTGGGGTGGAGTGGGCCTCGCCAAACCTTGCCCAGACTGCATCAAGGGGATGGAGCAAAAGGAGCAGTTATAAAAACAAAAAGCAAGCACTAGCAATCCCTGGGAATGGCCTCTGTGCCACGCATTATGCTGTGCTATTTACATGTATTATTTTATTTAATCCTGACAGTCACACTCTCAGGTTAATACCATTATCATCTCTATGTTATAAATGAGAAATTCAGGCTGTATTACTGGCACTTGTTCAAAAACCACAGCTAGTGTGAAGTATGAGTGGTGCAATCAGGGCTTAAACACTGGCCCCTTGGATCCATAGCCTAAGCACTTCAGCACGAGACTTCTCAGAGCCACTGAGCTGGAAGAGACATTTCAAATAAACATTCAATAGGTCTATGCTGGTGATTAATTAGTGATGAGGTAAAGAAAGAGATTGATTCAGAAATGCCTAAATCCTGGGGGCCTGGGAAATTCTTGTGTCTTTGACAGAGCCAGGAAAACAGAGTCCTTCCCAGGGCATGCACAGCACATTCCCAAGTGGCTTGTATTTCCCTAAGAGATTGTGCATTTATTTGGAGCAGCTGCGTCCCCAGAGTTGGCAGCTTCTTGCTGCTGGCTGGTCTCCTTTGCTGACAGCCTAGGGCTCCTCTTGGTGACTTGATGCTCATTGCTCACCAATGGGACATAGAACCAGGGCTGCCAAGACCAGAAGCCTAAATAAGCCCCCTTGTTATCATTGAGGCTGGAAAGTGACCTTGAGTGCTTTTCAAAGCTGTCAAAGTACACAGTAGCTCTGAATGAGTTTGTCACTCACACAGCTTGGCTTCCTGAAACCCAGTCTCTGCAACTAGCCCACCAAAGGGCAGCAAACATGATTAATATCCGTGGAGAAATTGGTCCTGGTGAACCTTTTTCATTTATGAGAACACAGTAACATAACAATGCACTGAATTTTGATTTTTTTAATTGCATACTCTTTTCCCTTTGGGAAAGTGTATTCATGAAGGAGAAGTGAAAACAGAGAAGTGTTACCAATTAGCCTCTCTGAAAGGAGGCATTTTCCAAAGATAGTCTAAGCTCTGAAACCTCTAATGTGATCGAAGCTCATGCTTCTGACCACTCCAATCTTTTTGTGTTCTAAGACATTTTTAGGTTTGAATGTAGTCTTAGTCTCAAGGTGTGGACATTGTGAGAGAAATTGGGGCCATGCCTGAGCATGTCCTTGACTATGTTGAGTGAAAGGGTTCATTTTCTCATGGGTCATCCTTGGTTGGAGAGAAGACTGGGTTGATTTATGTCATTGCATTCTTTGAACAGTCCTTGGTTGTTTGCTCTATGGCTGGTCCTGTGAGGCACTGTGGATTCAGAATTGATAGTCATGTGCTCCCTGCTCTCTAGAAGCTGTCTCATGGGGAGACAGGCCAAGGATAACAGAGGCAGCATAGTGTGTCAGACATTTCAGTAGAGAAGCACAGGGCTAGTCAGAGGAATAAATGAACTCTGACCAACAAGAACATGAAGGCCTCACAGCACAGGAGCAGTTTGATCTGGATCTTGAGTGAGTAGGAATTTGCCAGGAAGACAGAGGAGTAGGACATTCTAGACACTATTTGACATATAGAGGATACGTAAATAGCAGGCCAGAAATGACATGGAAGTAGTGGCTGGAGCCTTGGTTGACTAGGAGCCCCTGTGCAAGGGGAGCCATGGAGGAGTTCCCAGTGAGCTGAGGGAGGTGTATGGTGAGGAGATTTATTCCTTCTCACCCTGGTAGCTCTGCAGAACATGGGCTGGAGGAGGAGTTACTGGAGGTAGGGAGACCAGTTAGGAAACCGGTGTGATGATCCAGGTGATGGCTGTTGGGGCCTGAACGTGGACAGTGGCTAAGGGTTTGGAGAGAAGTAAATGGATTAAAAGATAATCAGAAGGAAAATATGAGAGATTAAAGAGATCAGTCAAGGATTCTCCAGGTTTCTGGTTTAGACAAGTAGAAGGATGGATGGGACTTCTACATAAGTTAGAGGAAAAGAGAGGCAGGATAATTTAGTGCAGGAGATGAAATTCAGTTCAGAGAACCCCTGAGGGGTCTAGGCAGTTTCACTAAGTGGGTCTTGGTCATGGCTATTAAGATGGGCAAACCTGGAATTTTACCCGTGCAGACCTGGCCACCTTATTGTAATTTACTTCAAACAACAATGGTGACAGTAACAGTAACACATATAGAGAGCTTACTATGTGCAGGATATTTTTCTAAACATTTTACATATCTCAGGAGAGTCCTTTGAGATAGGTACTATTACTATTCCCAGTCTGAAACAGAGGTTAATTGCTTGTCCAAGGAGGTACAGATAGAAGGTGGTGGACCTGGATTTGCCATAAGGTGGCAGACCCAGGGCTGACAACTTATGTATGTTTAAGATTTTAAGTACTATGAGGATGCTGCTGATGAATACCGGGACCAGGAGGGTACGCTGCTGCCTCTCTGGAAGTTCCAAACTGACAAAGCCAAGCGCCTGGCCGTCACCGCCCTCTGCTGGTAAGTGTAGGCATTGCAGCAAACCTAGAGCCTCTGAGTGCCTCCGCTAAGCAACTCACTTCTCTGCCTAGCCATCTTGAGGGTGACATGTAGCATTATGAGAAAAAAATGAGATTGGGATTCTTATGGGATTGTAGGATAAGAACAGGTCTCTAAGCTCAACAGTAGATGTCTGCAGTGTAGCTAGGTTCATGGGAAATCTTGTGTCCATGTGAGAGTCATGTCCATTTCCTGGGTCAATGGTTTCATATTTCTTTTGCAGGAATCCAAAGTACAAGGATCTGTTTGCAGTGGGACATGGCTCCTGTAAGTAATCCGGCTATTTATTTATTTGCTCACTTAACCAGCAAACACTAAGCACCTAACCAGTGCAGAGTTCTTTGCCAAGTGTGAAAGACAGAGATGACTAGGATGCAGTCACTGCCCTTGGGCTCATAGTTAGTTGTCTCAAGACTGACAATCCACACCAGCACTTTGTGCTGCTGGGTGGAGAATTATGCCAACTGAGCCTTGAAGGAGTTGTCATGGTGAGGAAAGAAGGGGAGATCACTCTTGGCAAAGGGACCAGCATGTGCAAAGGTCTGGAGGCACCAGAGATATGGCAGGAAATGAAGCTAGGGGGCCAGGGTCAGCTTGGGGGAAAGGGCTTAAAGCCATTCCAAGAAGCTTGGCTCTTGTCCTGAGGACAGTCTTCTGACCTTCTCCCAAGAGGAAACCCCGAAGGACTTTGAGAAGAGCAGGACACGACCAGTGTAGGTGGAATTGCAGGTGAGACTGGATTTGGGAGACCAGTTAAGAGACTGGTGAGGATCTGAGCCATGTGGGAATGGAGAAGCAGGCTAGAGAAACATGAGAAGGCTTACTGAACCAGATCTGGGGAAGGATGGGATAGACAGGAAGGATAGGATAGGGAAGCTGAGGGAGGGAAGTGTTCCTGACCAGACCATGGAGCAGGCAGGGATTGGGCAATGTTTAGGAGATCACTGTTTTCCAAGGTGCTCCTGCCCCTGCCCCCTTTCCCAAGCAGGAGCCTGCACTATATGGTAATTGTTTGGTAATTTGCTTCCCCTCCATGATCCTGGGTCCCTGCAGAAGCCCCTACCTCCTGCTGGACTGGACGTTCCCCCTTCCTAACAGGAGAGGGCCCCACACTTCGTGTTAGCTGCAGCTTCCCAGGCTCACAGCCTGTTCTCTAGCTGAGAGGATCGGCTTCTGTGAACAGAAAAACCTTTCCATTCTCCAAGCTGCTGTTGTTTTGGCAGGCTTACAAGTTCCTGGTTTCTGCCCCTCGGACCGCCTGTCTGCCCATTCTTTGACCAGGGTGGGGAGTAGGGGGGGAGGGGGCAGGGTGAGGAGGAGTTGGTGTTTGTCATTCCTCTCAGGGAGGAGATCTTGGAGCGGCTCCCAGGCTCATGGTTGGGGCTGCCTTGGAGGATGCCCTAAATGCCCGCTTTGTGTCCCCGCTCCTGTGGGTGGGCTGCTGCCAAGCTGGAAGCACCCTCCCCCTCTGGCAAGGAACTCGCACATTCCTCCCTCTCTGCTGCAGCTACTGGGCCTGGAGCAGGGCTGGGGGGCTGGGCAGGCCCTCCCAGGAGTGGGTGTGGACATGAATGGGTATGAGGCTGCTTTCAGCCCAGGCTCTCTGTCCAGGCCTGAGGTGGGGGGTGTCGGGGGCTCCCCAGCAGGTGGGAGGAGAAGCTGCTTGGGCTCTAGCCCTATCCTCCTCCCACCCAGGGCCAGAAGCAGGGTCGGCTGCTCAGAGTCCTGTGGAGACTGCCCATGGAGGCTGCCTGTGTCAGGAGAAGTGGAGGAGTAACCCGCCCCCCAGGAATAGGTGACCTAAAGTCCAACAGGCCCAGCAGCTCCGTTGGACAGGCACTCACCAGGGACGGCCTCTCGGTCCTTTGTTGGTCCTTTCAGCCACATCCACATGCCTGGGAGGCGCCACTCAGCTGCGGGAGGATCACTTTCCAGTGGACTGACCTGGAACCAGAGCCTCTCTGAGCCTCGGCTTTCTCATTGGTGACAGGGAGAGCCTGACACCTGCCGGCCCTCCAACCCAGGGCCACTGTGAGGCACGCCTGTAAAAAGGGGGACAAATGTGCCCTGTAAGCTGTGGGACCACCCACAGGCAAAGGACAATCATTGTTGATTTGCCTATAGGTCTTTCCCTCAGGAGAAAGAGGGGGATCAGACGACGCTGCCTCTTTTAGAGAACAGGGCCTGGTGGCAGCCTGGCGTCTGGGTTGATGCTGCTGGCACCATTGCTGACCAGCTTTCAGACAGGCATCCTTCTCCAGAGCCCACTTGTCTTAGGCGACTCTGCAGAGGCCTGAGCAGAGCCACGCTGGGCTGGGACTCAGGAGGGGCCCCGCATTTACTCCTGAGGTTGCCTCTGGGAATCCCATGCTCTTGAGTACCCAGGTGCTTCCCTGGAAGAAAGAGGGCAACGCTGAGGCAGGCCAAAGGCACCCAGTTACTAGACAGGGTCATTGTGAGGAGCAACTGGCTCCCCAGCATCCATCACACTGCCAGCCTTCCGCCATCAGATTTTGCCTCATGTGAACAAACACAGGAGTGAACGTTTGGGTTTGTTGTTGGGTTTGACCCTGAGGACCTCAGCCCAGGCCTCCTTTTGCCTGTAATTCCCGGATGTTTATTCTCTGACCCAGCCAAATAAGACTTTGGCAGGGGCAGCCATGTACCCAAGGAAGGATTGGAGGCCAAGCCCCCATTTGGGGGACAGGGCAGGCTGCCTGGAGCCAGGCCAGGAGTAAGCTGGTGGGGAAAGGGGTTGCCTGCAGCAGCACAGAAGCATCCGCACCTGCCTCCGCTCTGGCGCTGCTGGGTGCCAGGTGAAGGTCATGCCTGGCTGCGTACAGGGCAGAGACCGGGCGCCTCCTAGGGCCAGGCTCCATGTTCCAAGCAGAGTGGAGAAAGAGGCATCAGCAAGTGAAAGCAGATGGAGGAACACTGGAGGGCAAAGGAAGCTGGTCCAGGAAGAGGGGCAACGCTGGGTTGCAATTATGTCAGCCTGCTGCACTGATGGGGTCCTTTCCAGCTCATTAGCCAGTTCATGGCACGGGAATGGGGACTCCTTATGGTCTGTCAGGCAGGGGCGATGGAACAGATCTTAGGAACTCAGTGTGGTCCTGACTTCCCAGCTGTCCCTTAGCCCAGCCTCCCTCTGGGGGCCGCACCATCAAAAGGAGCTAAAGCCAGGCCTGAGTCCCAGCACTAAACCCATTCCCACTCAGTCACATCACACCCGGCCTGTCCCTGCGCCTGCCCAGGCCAAAGATACACTTGTAGGGATTTAAATCTTTCCTGATCATTTATTTGTCAGCTTCACTAATTAAGCAATGTTAATTTCATTTACTGAAAATGGAAATTCATCCACCTCATTTCTCCCTGTTCATCCTCCACACACAAAATCCATCACCCCTCGGCTGCAGGCTGCGTAAAATTTACAGGACTAATTATGTTGTCAGGTCTCTTTGTAAATACAGTCCATAAAGGCCACTGTGCTTGCTGGGTTGTAGTGCAAGGGCATCATTGTTGTTAGTTTAATTACTGGTTAGTTATTTAGGTTCTCAAATGTTTGCCTCATTTTCCCTAAATCAAATTAAATGTCCCGCTTGATGTATTCTGTCTCCAAGGCTTCGCTCTTACTTCCCACACTGTTTAAATATGAATTCTAATTGGATGAGAGAGCTTGGAGGAGCCCAGCTGCCTGGGAGGCTGAGCCCAGCCTGGCACCATGGCCTCTGTAGCATGCTGGGAATGTGGCATCCTCTAGCACTGATGCCCTTCCTTGGGGCAGCCTTGGGGTGGTATCCTGCCTTTGGGGACTATGAAACCCAAGGGGCATTTCTGTCCCTGAAGTCCAAGGTGGCAGGGTTGGGGTGTAGGAAACTGAGGGAGGATTTCATTATTGTCATCGGAAGTGCCGAGGGTCATTGCATCCACTCTCCTGACTTCTGGGGGAACAGCTTCCAAAACACCCAAAAGGTGCCATCTATGGGGGCATCTTCTTCTGATTTTTTAAAAGTGGGGTTTGGGCCGGGACCGGTTTGGCTCAGTGGATAGAGCGTCGGCCTACGGACTGAAGGGTCCTGGGTTCGATTCCGGTCAAGGGCATGTACCTTGGTTGCGGGCACATCCCCAGTAGGGGGCGTGCAAGAGGCAGCTGATCGATGTTTCTCTCTCATCGATGTTTCTAACTCTCTATCCCTCTCTCTCTTCCTCTCTGTGAAAAATCAATAAAATATATTTTTTAAAAATAAAAAATAAATAAAAGTGGGGTTTGGGTCAGCCTTCCCATTAGTGTCCTGCTATAACAAATGGCCACAAACCTAATGGCTTAAAACAACATGAACTTATTAGCTCACAATTCTGGAGGTCAGAGGTCTAAAATGGATTTCACTGAACAAGAATCAGAGATTGGCAGGGCTTCGTTACTGAAGGCTCTGGGGGAACATCCATTTCCTTGCCTTTTCCTGCTTCTAGGAGCTGCCCACATTCCATGGCTTGTGGCTCCCTTCCAGCTAGCAATTGCATCATTCCAACATTTGCTTCTGTCGTTACATCTCCTTCTCTAACTCTCCTGCCTCCCTCTTTCCCTTATAAGAGCCCCTGTAATTACATTCGGTCCACCCAGATAATCCAGGATAATCTCCCCATCTCAAGGTCTTTAACTTAATCACATCTGTAAAATCTCTTACTGTACAAAGTAACGTGTTTATGGGTTCTAGGGATTAGGACATGGATATCTCTGGGGGGCATTATGCAGCCTACCACAGCCCCCCACCCTGTGCCACTTGTATGACTTTAGAGAGAGTCATTGAACAGCTGCTGCATTAGAGCCAGCCCTGAAGGGGATGCCACGTCAGAGAGGAGGGGGCTGGCTGTCCGAGGCTGGCTCAGCATCCTTGTCTTTACAGCTTGTCATTTGCTTCACTGTGCTCACTGACCTGGCTTTAGCCTGGTGCTCCAGCATGCCCTCTACCTGCCCAGCTCTCCCTGAATCCTGAGCAGGAGCCCAGGCTTCTCCTGACAGCCAGAATTCTCTAGAGTGATCCCCTACGATGAAGAGCAGTTACTTGCAGGGCAAAGATAGAGCTGGTGATTGCCAGTTCAAGAAGTCATCCATCCATGCTCCTCACTGGGCCCTAGCTAGGGAGCTGAGGGTGGTGAGAGGCCTATGGTAGAATTAAGCTATCCCACCCCTGAGGCTATGGCTTTCTGAGAACTGCCAGATGAGGCGCTAGAAGGTGGTTGATTCTCCTCTTCCAAATCTTGTGGATCATTGAAGACCAAGTTAGAGAGGCCTTAGAGATTATCCAAGAGATTATCCAGCAGAGCAGGATTAGCAGGAGGCAACCCTCCCCCTGGAGAGAGCAAGCTTGCTGGGCCCTGGCAGGCCATGCTTACTCCGTCCTTTGGGAGAGAGGGCACTCTTCTCAACCAAAGGCTGCCTTAGCATAGGGCCCCAAGATGGAGGAGTGGCTCTAACCTCCCCCTGCCCTGCTCTGGTTCTTCTGAACTTGGGTGGCAGGAGAGCTGGACTTGAGGGCTTGGGACTGGATTCTGTTCAGTGATTATACTGTCAGGATGGTCACAAAGTGTGCAAAGAATGAAAGACAGAATGGAAAGCTCTCCCTTGACATGGGGCAACCAGGGAGGAGGAACTCTGCAGAGGGGTCCATGGTTGACCACCAAAAGCTGTGTCCAGGCCAGAAGGATGGCACAATGGCCTGTGGAAGCCAAACTCGCCAGTCTGGGACTTCTTGATTCTGGGAGCATGCCTAGAGCGAGGGCTCAGACTGCAACTGGGGATTATGGGGCCAGAGGGTATGAGAAAATGCCCAGATGTGGCTAGTTTGAGACATCTATAGACAATTCCGTGTTAGTCCAAAATGAACCCCTGTCCTTGGCTGAGGGGTTGGGGGGCTGGGAGGCACATAGGTATCACACAGGCATCTAAGGACAGCAGCCTTCCCCTTGCCTAAGGCATCTGAACCCTCTCTGAAGATACTGCTCCTTCCCAAACCAGCCCACATTCTTCACGTAGCAATATATATTTTATTGATTTTTTACAGAGAGGAAGGGAGAGGGATAGAGAACTAGAAACATCGATGAGAGAGAAACATCGACCAGCTGCCTCCTGCACACCCCCTACGGGGATGTGCCCTTGACCAGAATCGAACCTGGGACCTTTCAGTCCACAAACCAACGCTCTATCCACTGAGCTAAACCAGTTTCAGCATGTAGCAATTTTTTGAGCTGCATCCTTTCCTGTACCCAGGGACAATAAAGAAAATGACGGTCAGTCACTCAGATAAGTCTGGTCACCTTTACTGGTTGTTAGATCCTCCCAGGAACCCTGAGAAAGGGTAGACCAAGTCTTATGATCCCATTTCAGACAGATAAGATGAAGCCAGAGAAGAAGCCCACTTTCTGGAGAGGCATAGCAGGGCAAGGGGTGTCCATCTGATGGGGAAGAGGCACAGGGGTTTCCTGGCAGGGCAGCTGGATGCTCTAACCGCAGAGGCCCATCTTCCCCGGGACAGATGACTTCATGAAGCAGAGCCGGGGCATGCTGCTGCTCTACAGCATGAAGAATCCCAGCTTTCCTGAATACGCCTTCAGCAGTGAGAGTGGCATCATGTGTCTCGACATGCACATGGACCACCCCTACCTGGTGGTGGTGGGCCACTATGACGGCAACGTGGCCATTTACAACCTCAAGAAGCCCCACTCCCAGCCTGTCTTCCGCAGCTCAGCCAAGTCTGGCAAGCACACAGACCCTGTATGGCAGGTCAGTCTCAGACCAGGAGGGCAGACGTGGGCACGGATGAGTAGTGTGTGGGCCTGGGAGCCACTGAAGAAGGGACTTTGGGAAGGAGAGGGCCACGGACAAAGGGGTAGGGATAACAGAGGCCAAGGGTGTGAGAAGGGGCAAAGAAGGGCAGAAGTGAGAGTCACCAGGTAAGAGGGTCTGCAGTAAGAGCTGTGTCTGCTTCCCAGAGCTCCCATTAAAAGACCATCTACTGGCCAGTTTTTCTCAGTGGTTAGAGCATCAGCCCACAGATGAAAGGGTCATGAGTGCAATTTTTTGGTCACAGGTGCAGGTTCCTGGTAGGGGCAAGTGTGGGAGGCAATTAATTGATATGTCTGTCTTAGCTGATGTTTACCTATCTATCTCCCTCTCCTCCCTCCCTTTCATTCTCTAGAAATCAATGGAAAAAAATATCCTTGGGTGAGGATTTAAAAAGAAAAGGGCCCATCTGTCTGCTAAGGTTGTCTTAGGTATGGTGACTAGTGACCAGAGCCTGTGGCTAGAAGCCTCGAGGGCCTGACAGGCCTCTACTGAGTATGTGTAGGGCTCCAGTTCCCGATCTGTGGGGTTCCTCAACTTCCCACATGGCTCTCCTCTGCCATCCTAGCTAGATTTGGGGGAACTCGGAGACAGGAGTGGGTGCTGCCCATTGCCCACCCTCTGAGTGGGACTATAGGCCTAGTAGGCAAGGTCTGAGCCAGAGGCTTCTCTGTAGCACTCCACTTCTCCAGGCAGACATAGAATGGGACCATTACTTGGACATGAGGTCTAGATTTCACCCCATCTCCCACCTTATTACACTGGGAGTGGATTTCCTTTCATGGTTTCACTCTCATGGCTCTGGCTTTACAGGCCATTCTTCACTGTTTTCCAAGGTCCCCTTCCTTCTGAGGGAGGACCCTGACCTCATGGGCAGGTCTGGGGTAATCTAGGGATAGATTTTTGCCTCAAGTTGCCCAAGGCCTCTGGCTCATCAGACAGTGCTGGGACTCTGTCTTCTCATATTCTGCCCCCTACCCTGACACAGTCTGCAGCCAGGCTCTGCGCCCCTGCCTCTTCTGGCCCTGAGCTCCCTGAGTCATGTGGACACCTACCTGCTCCAGGTACTGGCTGTCAGCTCTCAGACAGGCCTGAGCAGAGGGAGGACTGTCCAGGCACAAGACATGGTGCTCTTTCAGCTTCATCCTTTACCCAGAGCCGGGGCAGAGGGAGGGAAACAATGCCCCCCGCCCCCAACTACATACTCCCAACACACACTACTCTCCAGGGGTGCAGAGCTTGCAGCCTCGGAGTTTCTCTACTAAAAAACGCACCTCCCAGTTCATTGTCTCCATCCAGAGATGTCTGTAGGGTTTTTATGCTCTCAGATAGTCCAGGGCTAAGCATGGAGCATCTCTGGTTGGCCTGACCACCCTCTTCAAGCCAAGGAGAAGACCAAGAGCTAAGGCCAACCACCCTGCTCCACTCTGCTATGTTCTCTAAGTCAAACAGCAGGTTGGGGAAGGAAATGGGGCAGGCAGAAGCCACATTCTCCCTCGCACTGGGCAGGTGCCAGGGAGACTGGAACCCATCTGGAGAGAGTGGCCTTCAGTTCTCCCATCATCCTGTCAGGAAAACAGGGCTGCTGCCTTTGCAAAACTGGAGACTCAGAGTTCTTGGCTGGAATCATGGCTTGGGACATGGGAGGGGCCTGCCTGTCTCTCACTGTTTACTCACTTCCTGCTTCCTTCTTTCCCTCATTTCCCTGTGCGTGCGCCCGCCCCCCCCCCCCCCCCCCTTCATCCATTTGGTAACTCCTCTCTGTTTGCTCCTCTGGGAGCTGAGGATGCTTAAGGGCTTGTTCTCTGGAGTTCCTAGTGGGCAGATAATCATAGCCACAGGCTGAGCAGGACAGGGTGATTTCTGTGGGTACAGAGGGCTCATAGGGGCCCTGAGGAGGGGCACTCAGATTGTCCGGGATGGGGAGCAGGGCCGAGAGAGCCAGGGAGGTCTTTCTAGAGGAAGCAACACCTGAGCTGAATTGTGAGGGATGAGAAAGTATTAGTGAGATGAAGATGGATACAAAGGGGTCACAGGTGCAATGACACAGAGGCATCAAGCAGAGTGGCCTGCTGGACAACAGCACATCATTTGGCACACGTGTGAGAGACAGGGACAGGGAGCAGGACCTGGGACAAGCACAGGTACCCATCCACGAGTGTACTTCTCCGGCAGGTTAGAACCTTGGACTTTGCAGGTTGGTGGTTGCAAATGAAGTGTTTGTATGGAAGCCCAGTATGTTAAAAAGATGAGCGTGGAGCTGCCCTGGTAGGATCAGGGTCCTACTTGTTTGAGGGCCTCTCGTCACTCCCTGTCCCCTGACGTGCTTTCCCCAGACTCCTGAGATTTCCCCCCAGCACAGTTTGAAAATCACTGCCCAGCCATCGGAGGGTTTTGGGCAGAGGAGTAATGCAGTTATGTTTGAGTCTGGGAGATTTCCTCTGGCTCTTGCATGTGAAATCTTGGAGCCCAAGCTAGGTCAGAGGCAATGCAGAGAGAGATGAGAAGATAAAGTCTAGAGCTGTTGAAGCAGTAAAACCAACAGAAGAAAACAACTGACTTCATATGGGAAAGGGAAGAATTGATGCTGCTGCCTGGAGCTCTGATTTGTGGTGCCCAGGACATGGTTTGGGGTGCCCCGTAGGGCATCTGTAGAAGTGGGAAATGCAGAAGAAAAACAGGTTTGGCCAGAAGGTAATACAAGGTGCCAGAGGGGGTTCCTATAGCCAGTTGGCCATAGGAACCTGGAGCTTGAAGAGAAAGAAGAGACATCAGAGCCTAGGTCCTTCTCAAAGGGACTGTGTCTCAGGGATACGAAGGAGGTTATTTTGGATCTCAAATGCCAGGCTGAGGCAGATGGACTTTGTTCTGTTGGCAGCAGGGAGCCATGGGAGGTTTTGGAGCCAGAAAGAAAGCTGACCATTTAAAGAGGACTGGGTTCCTGTCTCATGACACAGGCTGCTTCCCTAGGGATCCCGCCTGAATAGCCCAGCCCGGCTCATGCCCCACTGTGAATCCTCAACTAGCCACACTTTGCTGGGTGTGTGTGTGTATGTGTGCGATCTGCACAGCACTGGGGAAGGTGGTAAAAAGGATAAATGAGCACAAATTGGGGTCAAGCAGGTTTGCCCTAATCAGATAAGGCAGAAGAGAAAGAAGCTGTTAAGGAGCCTCCATTTCTTCTCTACCACCTGCTTCCTGGGCATTCATTCTTTCTCTTACCTGTACCCCACATACTTTATTCCTACCCTCCCACCTCTACCCCAGGATTGTTTGTGACTTGCACACACTTACACACATACACACTCACTTCAAATGCACACACCACCCCCTATTGGGCATCAGGCTGCTAAGTGGGGTGTGAAATACAATTTCCATGCATGCTGGCGGCTGCTCATTAAACACTTCCTTTTGCAGCTCCCTAGCGCCTATTACAGCCTGGCCTTTGACATCCCCATCCCTCCCCTCTTTAAAGAGACTACCTTTACACAGAGGGGAAGTGGTCTAGCTCTGACTTGTGGCTCACAGGCTCTGTGGTGTTCTAGTGCTGCTGCCCCCCCCCCCCCCCCCCCCCCCCCCCGTCCCCGTAGCCCCCAGTGAAAGCGGCTGCCTTTCTGCAGCTCCAATCAGCCAGGCCTGGGTAGCAGTGGAGGCGCAGCCCCTTCCTTCTCCCCTGTCAGTACCCCTCCACAGTCATGGTGACAGCTGTGGTTACAAGCATGGCACTGGGTTCCTGCCCTCCCTCCCGGGGCCTCTGCTTGAGACCAGGGAAGGGACCGTGGTCCCAGCATGGGAGGTCTGGAGGGAGCAGGAGGATGGAAAGCTTCAGGCACCCGGCCCCTCCCCAGCCCTCTGGGACATGGCTCAGCCCAGCCTCCACATCTGGCAACAGAAACTTGAGCCTCAAGCGTGTCATCTTCATAAGACAACAGCCCTGTTTCCAAAACACTTTCCCATATGTTTGCTTCTGGCCCTGAGAAGATGGGTGGGGCAGGATTATTAACCCCAATTTGCAGATGGAGAAATGCAGTTCAAATCTGAGCTTTGAGAGAAAGATTCTGGGAGCAGGAGCTAGTGGTGAAGTGAAGGTGAGAAGAGAGGAAAGACTGCCTAGAGAAAGGCTAAGCCTGGAAGAGGAGACCGGGGAGGGGGCAGACAGGGAAAGCCAGCTGCAGAACATTTGCACCCCAATTCCTAGGATGATAACGATAATGAGGACATCAGCTAACATTTGTTGAACACTTAATATATGCCGTGCTCTGACCTAAGGGCTTCACATTTACCATCTAATGTTTCCTTACAACAAACCTGTGCTGTTACAGTTGCTGTTTCATAAACGAGGGAACTGGGTGTGGGCCCTGTCCTTTCCAGGCCCTGTGTACGCGAGGAGGTTGAACCAACGCAGAAGGAACAGGGCATCTCCACCGACAAGCCAGGGCCCTGACGCGGCACTGTTGCCCCTGGATAGTCGGGGCGAGAGGGATAAGAGAGACAGGGTTGGAGGGTGGGAGGGAGGGTGGGCCAATCGTGGGGTACTGGGAAATGGGCTTCCAGAACTTGCTTCTGAAGCTCAGATAGGTTCTTGAGGGAGCCCTGCTCAGCTCACAGGCCTAACACAACACTCACTCGGGAGTACCAGAGCTCACAGTTTGAATGTTTCAGGTCAAGTGGCAGAAGGATGACATGGACAACAACCTTAACTTCTTCTCTGTGTCATCTGATGGCAGGATTGTGTCTTGGACGCTCGTGAAGGTGCCTGTTTCCCAGAAGGGGTAACACGGCGGTTGGTGGGGAATGTGTGTGTGTGTGGGGGAGCTGATTGGAAAAGGGATACCCCCAACCCTGCTGATTCATCCCTGTCCATGTGCCCTCCCATCCCCTCTGTGACTGCAGAGTGAGCTGGTTCACACAGATGTCATCAAGCTGAAGGTGGAGGGCAGCACCCTGGAAGGTCCAGAGGGGCTTCAGCTACACACAGTGGGTAGGAGCCTCAGCTCACTCACACCCAGGCCTGGCCACAGCCCTCAGGCCCATGCCGGTCAGTGACGGGGGCCCTCCCCAGTACTGAGTTCTCCCTCCTCCACTTGTGCTGGAGCTAGGACTGTAGGTAATGGGAAGCCTGGCCTGGTCTGCCCAGGCCTTGGCTGTTTGCAGTCCCTCCCAGTTTATGCAGGTCCCATCTCAGCTTGCAGCCCGCTCCTGTTTATGCAGATCAGGTGCTGTTATGCAGATCCAACCCTGTTTATGCAGATCAGGCCCCTGCTTTCCCAGATTCTGTCTCTGTTTACTCAATCCCCACCCTGTTTATGCAGACTACATCCCTGTTTGCACAGACAACGTCCTTGTTTGCAGACCCTGTCCCTGTTTACCCTGACCCTGACCCTGTTAAACTCAATCCCTGCCTTGTTTACCCAGGCCCCATTCCTGACTGCAGAAGTCCTGGCCGTTTGCAGAGTCCCAACTGCCTGGGACCAGCAGCAGCAGGCCAGAGGGCCGGTTTCTGTTTGCCTTGCTGGCCACGGCCTCACAGGGGCTGGCTCAGGCTGTCCTGGGAGCCTGCTGGGGGGGGGGGGGGGGGGGGGAGAGGTGCTGGGAGCCTCCTGCTCAGGACCCGGCTAAGGTTGCTCCTCTTCTCCCAAGGCTGTGGCACTGCTTTTGACTTCCACAGAGAGATCGACTACATGTTCCTGGTGGGCACAGAGGAGGGGAAAATCTACAAGGTGAGGCACTCTGGCCCCTGTGCCAGCTCCTTACAGGGTGGCTTAAACCTGAACACTCCACGAGCTTAACATTCTCTGCAGATCCTATTCTGACAGGTCTCAGTGCTCATCAGTTCTAGAAGGCTTCTTGGGGGAAGAGAATGCATCTCTTGAGCTGACTGGGTGGCAGGAAGAAGGACTGGCTGCAGGAAAGGGAGGAAGAACCTAGAGGGTGACTTGAGCCCAGCTCAGCCTCTTTCCCTCAGGGCCCGCCCTCCCTCCCTGAAGGGGTAGAGGTGGGAGTGGGAGTTAGAACATTCTGGGGAGATTTCCTGGCGTAGATCTGAACTTGAGCTGAATTTTGAAGGCCACGTAACAAGAAACATTATCTCCGAATATGGGGTGCATCCTAGTCGGCAGGATGAAACTTCATGGCCAGTTTCCACAAGGTCTGTGTCAGTAGGTGAACATCCTTTGAACCTCTCCATCCATCCAGAAATAGCTCGACTGCAAGCTTTTCTTAGGCTTAGAGACCAGAATGTTAATTACAGGCAGCCTCCCGGGAGCCCCTGAGGCCCAGCCAGAGCTGGTCTGAATGCAAAAGAGGTCCCCACCCCCTCTCCACCCCTCCCAGTGGTGGCCCAGGAGGGAATGAGACTAGTCAGTCACATGTCCAGGAGGGAGGGTCTAGGGACTTGCTGGTCAGGCAAGAAACAGAATGGGAAAATCATGAAATGGGGATTTGTTCCTGTCTCTGCACCTGCTCCTACCTGGGCAAGGTGGGAGGTTTGTCATTGTTGAAGGATTCTGTCTGTGAGTTGCAGATGAACCCAGGGCTCTGTCCACAGGCCTTGGCCTGGACACAGGACCCCCAGACCTACTCTGCCTTGGCTCAGAAAAAAAGGCCTTTTCTATCTGGCCTGGAACCCGCTGGGCAGACTACAGCACTTTCCCCCACCCTCCAGGAAGGCTCCCCGGCCCACCCCAACCCCCAGGCCACTAAGCCCCGTCTTTCTCTGGGATGTGTCGTGGGTGAGAAGAGCAGCTAGGGATTAGCCCCAGCTTCTCTATGACAGTGATGTGGGATAAGGACAGGAGAAGTTTCAGGTTCTGATCCTCCAGGGACCCTAAGGAAGTGTGGCTGCTGACCTCTCTTTCATGCCTGACTTCTGACCCCTTCCTCAACCCCCAGTGCTCTAAATCCTACTCCAGCCAATTCCTGGATACCTATGATGCCCACAACATGGCAGTGGATGCTGTGTCCTGGAACCCATACCACAGCAAGGTCTTCATATCCTGCAGCTCCGACTGGACAGTGAAGATCTGGGACCACACCGTCAAGTGAGGGGCCTGCCCCTGGCCCTGCCCTTCCTCAGGCTCCACCCTGGGCTGGGGCCTATGGGTTCTGGCACGGGGAACCTGCTGTGTCACAGACTTTCCACCCCTCCACCACTGCAGGACCCCAATGTTCATCTATGACCTAAATTCAGCGGTGGGTGACGTGGCCTGGGCGCCATACTCTTCCACTGTGTTTGCAGCAGTCAGCACCAACGGGAAGGTGAGTGTCTTCTTTCTGACCTGGAGACAGGGCGAAGAATCCTATGGTTTTCCTCCTGGGAGCACACTCTGTGCCCAGCTCAGGTCGGGGAAGTCAGGATGGAAGGACTCTGTGTATTCTCAAGGGCCAGGCCACCCAGGGCCCGTCAGAAGGGAAACTTCACCCCATGAGGCCTCGCGCAGAAAATGCGGCTGTTCCTCTTGAAGGCGAGAGCGCTCTGGGGAATGAGATGCCACGAGGAGCAGTTATCTTCTCTGAGGCCCCTGGGTGGGAGCTACAGATGGCAAGTGCCAGCTTGACGTAAGGAAAACCTTATGAGCCAGAGTTGACCTGTGATGAAAATAGTGTCTAAAAGGTGCTAAGTCCCCATCCTGGAAGTGTGCGAGGTGAGTCTGAGAAGGGGAGATGGGAGTTTAACACCGAGAACTGGTAAGAGCTCAGCAAAAAATATTTTGTAAGAAAATTCTGATGCAATCCCATTTTCCTTGTGGACTTTAATATAAAACAGAGGCACCTACTCAAGAAAAGAATACAGTGATTAAGGCATCCTTTTTAAGTCTGTCAGTCATCTATTTGCTGAAGAGATGCTTACTAAGGGCCAACTCTGTCGTCCCACTCCAGGCCAGGGCCTGGTGAATCAGGTCCCTGCTCTCATGGAGCATATATTCTAAGGAAGGGAAGAGTCAAAAAGCAACAACAAATCCCCATAGCCTTACGTGCTAGGCAGAAATTAAAAGAGGATGATGTGCATGCAAATGTTCATAGCAGCATTATTCTTAATGGTCAAAAGGTAGAAAAAACCCAAATGTCCATCCATTGACGACTGTATAAACAAAATGTATATCCAAAAGGATTATTATTCAGCAATAACAAGACCTGCTACAACATTGGGTAAACCTTGAAAATATGCTTAATGTAAGAATCCAGTCACAAAAGACCACACATTATATGATTTTATTTATATTTGTCTAAATAGGCAAATGTATAGAGACAGGAAGTAGATATGTGGTTGTCTAGGGGTGGTGATGGGAGAAAATGGGGATAACTGCTAATGGGGTTCCTTCTGGGGTGATGAATATGTTCTAAAATTGGTTGTGGTGATGGCTGCATAACTGAATATACTAAAATGCAAGAATTCTGTACTTTAAATGGGTGCATTATATCTCAATAAAGCTGTTATGTTTTCGAAAGAGAGTGATATAAAAGAAAAGGACTGGGTGGTCTCTTAAATAGAGTGGTCAGGGAAAGCTTCAAGTTGAGAGTGAATAACAAGAAAGTGCCAGCCACATGCAGATGGGGGGAGGGAGGAGCAGCGGTATTCCACACGTGGGAATAGCTAGGGCACATGCCCTGAGGTGAGAATGAGTTTGAAGGGCTTAAGGTAGGGGTGTCGAACTCAATCAGAGAAGGGGCCAAAATCTAAAATCCAGTCTAAATCGCGGGCCGAATGGTTTACTGAACAGTCATAAACTGTCATTGTGATGGAAACGCAGCGGAGTGCAGTGATGACAGCGCGGTGCGGGCCACATTGCAAGGCCTGGCGGGACGGATTTGGCCCGTGGGCCTTGTGTTTGACACATGTGGCTTAAGGAATAGGCAGGGAAGTGTTGCTGGGGTCTAGTGAACAAAGGGGAAAGAGTATGAGATGAGAGTGGAGAATCTCGAGTAAGGAATCTGGATGTTATGTATAGTGCCAAGGGAGACTATTAGAGGATTTTAGATTGTTTATAAAGGTAAGTCTGGCAGCTGCACGGAGGATGGGATTGTAGTAGGAGGGCAAGAGTGAGTCTGGTTAGGACACTGTCATAGCTGTCCAGGCAAAAGTTGTTAATGGTTTGGACATAGGGCCTGGTAAAAACAAGAGCAAACATTTGTTGAGCACTTATCTGACAAGCACCATCTGAATATCTTACATACATTAACTGGTAGGAACCCTGACTCTGCTACTTACTAGCAAGTTAGCCTTAAGAGCCTCTATCCCCTCATTTATAAAATGGAGAATCTACCTTATAGAGTGGCTGTGAGGATTATTAGATAATACAAGCCATGTTCCATGCTTACCCAGAGTCTAGGACATAGTAAGTGTTCAATAAATGGTGTCTGCTATTATTGTTAATTCTGCATAAACTTAATTTTCTCCTAAACTTATTTTCATTTCCTCAACCACAGGAAAAACATAAAGAGACACAAATTCCCTATCCACAGCTTCTAGCTCTAGTGTGCTAGGCTTCTATCCTGTTTCCTCAGAAAGGCCAGGGGTGCCCCCCTGCCCTTCCCAAGCGGGACTGGCCACACAGGCCCATTAGCCCTACAGCCTCGTTAGCCCCAAGTGTGCTGACACCCAGCTCTCCACAGACCCACGTGTTTGACTTATCCATCAACAAGTACGAGGCCATCTGCAATCAGCCTGTGGTGGCCAAAAAGAAGAACAAGATCACCCATGTGCGGTTCAATCCCGTCTACCCCATCATCATTGTGGGCGACGACCGTGGGCATGTCACCTGCCTCAAACTCTCACCCAATCTGCGCAAGATGCCAAAGGTATGCTTGGGAAGTTTGGGCTACCAAAAGAAATGGTCTCCAGGGCAGTGGGGGATGGGAGAAAAGGAAGGAGCCGGGGGGGTGACCCCCAGGTTTGTGGTTTGAGAGACCCAGGGTAAGGGTGATGCCACAGCCCATATGAGGAGCATAGGAGAAACAGGTTTGTGGGGAGACGATGATTGGACATGCTGAACCCGAGCTTCCTCTGTGGGGCCCCAGGTGCAGATGCAGTGACTAGGTGACCATATGGGTCTGAAGCCTGGAGGAAGCACGTGGGCACCACTGGCTTATTTGGTGTAGACCAGGTCACCCAGGCAGGGTGCTTGGGGCTTAGTCATTAGCTGGGCTTACACAGGCTTCAGCTCCAGCGGTCCCTTGCTGGGAACTGTGGGACCACATAGGGAAGAGGGAAATGAGCCATGAGGAGGATAACTAGGTCAGCAGCCAGACAGTCCTCCTTTTGAGCTCTTGTTCTTTTCAGAGATATCTAATGATGTGGAGACCCTACTCAGAGCCCAAGGGCCCCAAATACAAGCCACGCTGCCCAGAGCCCTGATCTCCAAGTCTATGGTAGATCTCAAAAGTCCAGATTCAGACTTAAGAACCCAGAGCCCAAGGACCCAACTTAAAAAACCAAAGCTCAGGAGCTCAAGAGTTCAGTCCTGCCCACTTGGTTGCTAAGAGAGGAAATGGAACTTGTTTTCTGGGCCAGGATCAGAGGTGAGCCAGGGCTGGGCCAAGTTGCCCTGATGACTGTACTTTGTAGTTGCAATTTGAGGCATTTACTGCAGTTTGAGGCAGGGGGGGTGGGGAACTGGCTGTCATTTTTAACAACTGACACCTGCCCCTCTGCACCCCTACCGAGGCAGAGGCCATTACACCATCCCTCTGGTGCTGGCCTGTTGTCTTCCCTTCCAAGGCCAGGGAGGCAAGGGCTGGAAGTTTGGCCCGGCCTGTAATTGTAGCCAGCTGGGGGAGGGGCTGGACTTGGCTATAAATACTCAGAAGGCTGCTAAGCGCCTGCAGCTGTGGCCCAGAGGCTGTGGTGGGCTGGGGTTGGGGGTGGGGTAGTCGGGTGTGGCCAAGTTCTTTGCTGAGCCCAAGCTAGTTGGCCTCGAGGAGAGGGAAGGAGGCAGCACAATTAGTGGAACAGATAAAATCTGCTCTTAATTTAGTGAGGAGAGAGACCCAGGCTTGAGCTGGCAGAGCTGGACAGCCTGTACGAGAGATGATGGTCATCTCTTGGGGTAGGGGGACAGCCCTCATGAGATGAGGGTGGTAGATCTGGGTGGGATCTGCTCTGCCCACTCTGACCCAGAGCGGCCAGGATCTCCCAGTCAGATCCAACTCCTCTCAGAGCGAGGGCGTCATGACTGAGAGAGCTGAGAACATGGGTACCTTGGGATTAGAGGACCTGAGTATGTGCCAACTAAGAGCTGATAATAGGGTGGACTGGAGGTTCCTGTGAAATTGCCATCCTATCAGCAACCAAGTGGTTGGTGCAGACAGAAGTCCCCTGGTCATTGCTCCTGCCCCTCCTCTGGAGCTGCAGTCCCCTGCCCTTCCCAAGCAGGACTGGCCACACAGGCCCAACTCCTGGCCCAGGGAGCTTCCCATGGGAAGCTTGTCAAAGGTCAAGGACTATCTTGCCCTAACTACTGCATGTATAGGTGGGAAATTGACGTTTAAAAAGGCAAGGGACTTGCCCAAAGTCATACAGGGGGTTAATGACAAAGCTGGAACTAAAGCCAGGTCCCCTACCTCCCAGGGGATGGGAAGAGGCCAAGAAGAGAACATGAGCTTAATTTGGGAGTGTGGGAAGGAGAGAAAAAGACATCTTTGTCCTCTGCCTTGAGAGTATAGAGGTAAACTGGGTCGTACCAAAGGCAGTGGCCCGCAAGGGGAGGGGAGACAGGTTTGGGAGCAGGTGCAGGGGTCACACCAGGAGGAAATCAGAGCTCCAAATGGTGTCAGCAGCCAGGATGAGGCAAGGAAGGGGACTGCTGGCCTTGCACTCTCTCCCACCTCACAGCCCAGGCCAGATCCAGGCGGGGCTCTCAGCAGGCAAGGCCGGGGAAGGTGCCAGTGAGCACAGGTGGCTGAGAGGGCAGGGGCTTGGAGCAGAGGGAAGGCAGGAAATGGCAGCCCCAGCCTAGCCCACACCCCACTTTCTGGGCAGAAAGGGTAGGACTGGTGCTGGTCTTGCCAAGGACCTCTCGAGGCCTAAGAGTGACACTCCTCCCCTCCCAATGTCCCAACTCTTTTTCTCAGGGCTCAGCTTACCAGCTAAAGCATTAGAGTGCTCTGTGGAAGGGGTGAGGGGTCATACACCCAGGATCTGCTTCTCTGGGGAAATCTAGAATCATATGGCACATCCCAACTGCCCCCCTGGGTCTCCTGATACCTTCCCCCATCCTGGGTATGTCTGACACAGCAGGCCTGGCTCCAAATAGCACCCCACTCCCCCAACCTGACCTAAAGTATTGGCTTGAAATACTAGTGAAGGGTGTTTGTGGTTTTTCACACCCCTCCCTCAAAAACACACCTTTTAGCTCCTTGTCAGAACTCAGGGACCTTCCTGTGGGAAGGGTGGTCTCAATAGTCATAAGTTCTACCTCTTCCCAGGTTTTTAGCTCCCCCTGGCTTAAAGGCTTGTTCTTCTGCGGGTCAGTGGGTGGACACCCTCCCCCACTCCCCCAACATTGAGATCCTATGTCCATGTGAGGTTCAGAGCCAAATCTGTATGCTTCTTGCAAGCTTCAGCTGGGCTGTTGTGTCACCTATCTTGAGTTGGGGAAGGATCAGGTAGGGGTGGAGGAGGTAAGATCTAGAATCGAACTGGGCAGGGGAGGGGCAAGGCACACAGAGTCTGATGCAGAGATACATCTGTGTGAGGCGGGCTGGGACCCAGAGAGAGGTGGCCCATCCCTCACCGTTCCTCCCTGTGTACTTCCCTTCTCCCCAGGAAAAGAAAGGGCAGGAAGTGCAGAAGGGTCCAGCTGTGGAGATCGCAAAATTGGACAAATTGCTGAACCTGGTGAGGGAAGTGAAACCCAGAAACTAAGGACCCTGTCCTATTTCTTGAACCCAATACTTGTAGCCCCTGACCCTGGTACCAAGTCCAGCCTTAGCACCTAATATGTGACCCCACCCATGATCAGGTCCCCACTTCAGCCCTGGTCCCAGCACCTCATCCCATGGCTTGACCCTCAATCACCATTATCCAATCCTACTTTGCACAAATAAACCTGTCTGGAAACCCACCCCCACCTTTAATTTTGCTACTGCAGGGCCCTCAGGAAGAGGAGAACATCTCAGGGTAGAACCATAGTTCCATTTATTATCCAGCAAACAGTGGGAGGGGCAGAGGAGGGGCCCAGCCTGGATGCCCTCCCATTATTGCCAAGGATTCGTTTGCTTTCCCAACTGAGAGGGCCTAGAGGCACTAGGCCCAAGGAGAGAGTGGACCCAGCCCCTGGCCCTTGAGATGGAGCAGAGTCCAGATGGCCCAGGCCCTAGCACCAACTCATGAACCCCCCACCCCGGGCCTGTTTCCCCACGGCCACCAGTGCCCCTCGTAGAGCCAGGCTGGCGAGACTCTGGGCTGCTAGGTCCAGCTCCGGACAGGCTGGACTCTGAGTTCTGGACCCCAGGCTGGCTGGATCCTGGGATCCGGATTCCAGGCTCTGGGTGAGGTGGACTTAGGTCCCAGACTCCAGGCGAGGTCAGGGGCCTTCAGGGCTGCAGTAGGTAGCTGCCTTCATGGCTGGGTTTCTGGGGTGGGGGTGCCTTCTCGGGGCAGGGACCAGGGCTGGAGTTGGGACTGGATTCAGAGAGCGAGTCGATATCGGCAGAGCGGGAGTGGCAGGCCCAGCAGAGAATGACCCAGAGGAGCAGTAGCAAGAAGCCTACCAGGCCGTTGCAGACGATGGCGATGAGGGCGCCCTGGGATATGGCTGCCCCCATGATGGGCAGCACCCTCAGACCAGCACAGACAGCAGAGCCAAAAGCGGGGCTGACTCAATGGCAAGGCCCATGCCGAGGCGGGACTCTGGTGTAGCCGGTCTTCTGAGGTGGTGGTCCTGTCCACACACTCAATGGTTCCTGGGCAGGAGAGATGTCCACCTGCAGTCCTGAGCCTGTGGGGGGTACAGAGGAAAGGAAAGGATGGTGAGAAGGGACAGGGTGATGCCTAAGAGAGGAGACAAAAGAGCCCCCTCCCACACCTCCGGCTCCCAGGCAGAGGACTGGGTCGCCGTAGGCCCCAGTACTCCACAGAGCCGATACCCCCATGCTCAGGCCTGGCTCTGGGCACCTGGAGGGGGGGGGAGGGTGTAGCCACAGTGGGGCAGCTGGAGCAGGCAGCCTGTATCACTCTCCTTAGAACAGGTGGGCATGTTCTGGCCCTGCCCACCCAGCTTCCAGCCCTCTAAAGCGCTGTGGGTGGGTGTGCCCAGGTAGCCCAGGCCTCCGTCAGCTCCAGTGGGGCCTAGCCACCTCCCCACTCTCCGGACCCCAGCCAGCCAGCCAGCCCAGAGGACGCCAGCTCACACAGAGGGAACTTGGTGGGGGCCCTGGCCGGCGTGTGTGTGCATCCGAGCCTGGGTACCTAGGTGTGACCTCTGTGTGGGATTGTCTCTTACAGGTCAGGTGTGTGTGTGTCTGTGTCTCTGCCTCTGCAGACCCACCTCTATATCTGTGTGTCTGTGTGTGCTCCTCTGTGAGTGTCTGTTGCATGTCTCGTTTTTCTCCCAGGCTGTCTCTTTGTGTATCTCTGCATCAGACTCTGTGTGTCTTTCTCCCTGTGTGTGTGTGTGTGTCTAGTGTCTCTCCCTTTCTCCGTGGCTGTGTGTCCCTCGGTCCCTGCAGACGTGTGTCTCTTCCTCTCTCTGTGGGGGTCTGTCTCTGTGGTTCCGTGCGTCTCTTGTGTCTTTGTGTCTGTCTGTCTCTCTCCCGGCCGTGCCTCTGTGCCGTGAGGGGCTTTTCACCTCAGCCTCTGGGTCTGGGCGCCCGCGGCCGCGGAAGAGGGGCCCCCTTACCTGAGCGGAGCCCAGTGCACGCCCGCCGCGGGGTCCGGGGCAGCGAGATGCTGGGCGCCGACTGAGGCTCGGAGCCTGCGGCCGGGCGGGCGGTGGGGGAGGCGGGTCGGGGCGACGTTCCCTCCCCCGACCCTCCCCTTCGGCCACGCAGCCTCTGCCGGCCGCTCCCGCCGCGGCGCGACCCGGTGGCCTCAGCCGCGGGCGGGCGGGCGGTCTGCGGCGCGCGGGCGCCTCCTCCCCCGGGGCGCCGCCTCCTCCGCGGGGCCGCTCGCTCGCGGGGCGGCGGCGGCGGCGGCTCGGGCACGCGGTCCAGCGGGCTGCCCGGCGCTCGGACGGGCTCGGCCCGGCTCGGCGGACGGCGAGAGCCGCGAGAGCCCCGCCCCCCGGGAGGCCGGCGGCCGGCGGCCTGTGGGGGACGCCGCCATCCCCAGCCGCTGCCGCCATTCGATTGGCTGGCGGCTCCGGGCCCACGTGCTCATTGGCCCTGCGCTGGAGCGGGGGCGGGACTGGTGCGGGCGGGGGGCGGGGCGGGAGGGGCTGAGGGCGATCCTGCCCTGTCCTTTCCCCGGGGGCGGGCCGGGGCGGGGCGCGAGGCCCACCTATTTGCCGGGGCTTCTGGCACCTCCCTCACCAACGTCTGAAAAAGGCCAAAGCTTCTGGGACCCCCACATTCGAGGAGACCGCCCTCCACATTTGGCAGAGGGCTCTGCCTCCCCACAGCTGGGAAGAGACAACCCCCTCATTGGAAGACTCCCTGTTGTCCCTCAGGTCCTCTCTCCCCCTCCTGGGTGTGGAATCTGCCTCCCCACTGCAGAGGGTCTGTGCCCCCGAGATGTGAGCAGCTCACGTCCAATAGAAGTTCTACGGACACATTCACTGAATTCCCGCCCAGTGTTGTTGGCTGAGGTGTGTGCTTTGCTCTGCCGCCCTGGGGGAGCTGGGACAGAGGAATGGGGTGCTCTGAGGCATGGCTCAGCCCCGGCTGGAATAGGCATGACTCCATCTAGATCCTGTCCTGAGGGAAAGATCAGCTCAGGCGCCATCAGGCTTGCCTTCCTACCCTACCTCACAACCCTAAGTGATCTGAACTGGACCCTCTTCTCACCCCATTCTACATATTCTTGATGGATGAGCAAATCCCTGAAGCTACACCATGAAGATAGTGCTCTCACATTCAGCTTAATTTATTTCTGGAATTCTAAACTCAAAAGCAAGTGCCTACCAGAATCAGGATGGCATGGATTCCCAGTTCTGACACCCAACTTTGTGACTTTGGACAAGTTATTAACTTTTTTTTTTTTTTTAAATGATTTTAGAAAGAGGAAGGGGGAAAGGAAGGAAGGAAGGAAAAAAGAAAGAAAGAAAAAAGAAAGAAAGAAGAAAGAAAGAAAGAAAGAAAGAAAGAAAGAGAAAAAGAAAAGGTGTGAGAGAGAGAAAGAAAGAGAAACACATCCAATTGTTATTCCACTTATTAATGCTGTCATTGGTTGCTTCCTGACTAGGAATCGAACCTGCAACCTTGGCGTATTGGAACTGTGCTCTAACCAACAGATATCTGGCCAGGGCTGTTAAGCTCTTTTAGACTCAGCTTCCTCATCTGTAAAATGGTTATAATAATAGCTCCTATAAGGGTTATAATTCACTAATTCAGATACACCAGACCAACCGCATTTCAGTAAATGCCAACTGACACAACCCCAAGGACTACATGGCTAAGGGACCCTTCCCCAAATGCCATGAAATTCATACGAAATTCCTATAAATCCAAATGCTATCTTGAAAATGAGAATGGAAAAGGTAAACTAATCTGAAATATGGAGTCATCCAAACCTGAACTGGTGACTGTCTAAAAAAAATTTTTTTTTTTTTACCCACTGAGTTCACTAGAGTGGATTAATTTTAGTTCTGCTGCCCCTGTTACCCAGCAGGGTGGGGGCATTGTGAGCAAGATCAAATCTGTTCTAGCAAACAGAGGAGACTTATATCGTTGTACATCTGAGAATAATGTGAGTGAAATTGTGACCCAGCTGTAGGAGTTCAGATTTCATACCAAAAACAGTGGGGAGCCACTGAAGAATTTTTCGCAGAGAAGTAATGTGATCATATCCAGAAATTAGAAGGATGGTTTGAGCAGCTCTGTGGAAGGAAGGATTGAAAGCGTTTGAGAGTGAAGGCAATGAGTAATGACAGGGACTGAAATGATGTAGGGGAGTAGGAAAGGAGAGAACAGGAGAGCATTGTGGAGATTTGAGAGTTACAATTGGCACGACTTAGAGACCTACACCTATAGGATATGGGGGTAAGAGGATGGGGGGAAATGTGGGATAACTCCCAGACTGATGATTAGAGTTACTGTGATGCCATTTATTGAGATAGGGAACATGAGAAGGGTGAGTTTCATCAGTGGCTGGGGAGGAGGGAAGATGAGTTTGGTTTTGGAGATGATGCATTTGCGGTACCAATTGGACACCCAAGTTCAGATGTTCAATCGATATTTTGACAAGCAGGTCTGATATTCAGGAGAGAGGTCCAGGCTGAATTTAACATTTTGTGAGCAAAGGGTAGTAGTCAAACCAGAAAAGTGGGTGAGCTCACCCAGGAAAGGTAAGACCTGTTTTAAGCAAAAACGATACATTTATCACCGGATACTGAAACCTAAAGACAGGGATGCCTCAGAACAACGGGAACTAATAAACTTAAAAGCCATTAGGTCTCTCCACCTGTCATCTCTATTATTTTTTTTGTCACCTTCATTTCCCTCTCCTACCTCCACCCCAGCCCCTGTCATCCCTACCCACAGACTGGTTTCCAATGCTCTTCTGCTCCACATGCTGAAAATCTTGACTTCAAACAATCCCAAAGCTTAAAACTTTATTGTTGAGGTATCCAACCAGACACTCACTAACTTCTTTTTCTTGGTTAAAGTTTGCAAATTCCTCTGACTGGCTCAGTTTAATTAGATCAACTTGGGATCAATCAGCTGTGGTCAAGGGATGAATGAGGATCAAATTGCCTAACATTGCCCATAAGATAACCACATCAAACATTGGGATGGTGTTGGGGTTCTCAGGAGAAGAGAGATCCTCCAAAAGCAGAATGGCAGGTGTTCAGTGTGGCTCACCCTTTGCCCAACACATATATTGAAAAAAATGCCTTCACCTACATACATGATCCAACTATCCTACATACATATGCCAGGAAATTCACCTCCTCTCCTAGTGAGGGCAGCTCAGTGACACATCCAGCTGTTGCTTCTGGAAGTTATCTGATAGGACACTGTTCTTCAAATATAGGTTCTCTGGGTAATGTCCCTTTGTGCTCTAACTATAATTTAATCTCTACAAGGTGTGAACATGGCTTCTATTATAATAACCCTATTACCTTTGTTTAAACTATCTTTGAACTACTTTAAACCACGCCCCCCAAGAAAAACCACACCCCAAACCTTATATTTAGAGATGGAAGAAATAGAGAATAAAATGGAATAAAAAGAAAGCACTGTACAGTGGTCACGAATCCCAAGCATCGCTTCTATTCTTTTGGCCACAAATAACAATGGAAATGATGGGACTAGTAAATCTCTGGGCATCTGTTCATTGACATGTTTCTTTGGCGATGGAGTTTCTGATTGGCTGCCCCAAAGCCCTGCCCGCAAGGATGAGACCCCTTCTCCAGTGTTCTGAGAGCTCCGTTGTGGAGGATTTCTGTGTGGCACTGTACTGATTAGTACTACACTTCCTGATGGTGTTTTAGAGATTGTTCTGGGGTTGAGAAAACTTAGATCTCTGTATTTATGAGGATTGGGTGTGGCTTTATTTTTCCTCCCAGATGATACAGTTCTTTTAAAACCATAGTAAAAGAAAAAAAAAAAAAGAAATAAACCATAATCAGCTGTCAGTTTCATCTGGAGGAGAATTCCTTTTGCTAATAACATATTTCATTGGCCCTAAAGCACATTTTCCCCCTAGTTTAAACAACTCTGAAATCAGAATATGTCTTTCAATGAATGGCATGTAATGTTTTTTTAGCCTGTTTTTCCTTAGTAGTTCATTAAAAAAACTTGACTCTCATAACTGATGGGATATGAGATTTTTAAAAATATAATAATTTTACCTGTCAGAGTTCTTTTTTTCTTTTTTTTACAAATATTAATAATAGAATCAACTCTGGATAGCTGAAGCTTAAAAGGGATTTGTTAAAAGATATTACTTAGCTCAGACTTGTTAGGAGGGCTGGGAAAATGGACTTGAGGCTAAATTTCTAGGAACAATACCCAAACCATACCACACAACCTGATGAGGAAACCACACCACTGCCATTCCAAATAATTACCAGGAGTTCAATTTGCCAACTTTACAAGCTCTATGGCACTTCTGTGGTAGGAACTCAATATTGCAACCACTGGGAAACCACCGCTGTTACCACTACCATGCCCAACAGCAGGATGAGCAGAAATCAAAGCTCTATGTCCAACCTGCTGCTTCCTTTCTATCAGTCAGGATTAGCTAGGTAACATAGCAGTTACAGCCCTTTCTGGTGAACTTTGGCAATATTTATTCCACTCATATTCCTCATTTCTGCATCCAAGTTTCAGTTGGGGGGAGTAGTATGCCTATAAACGAGCTGCAAGGGATCCTGGGAACTTTTTTTCCTTTTTAAAAAATTTTAATAAATCTTTTTTTAAATATATTTTATTGATTTTGTACAGAGAGGAAGGGAGAGAGATAGAGAGTTAGAAACATCGATGAGAGTCATCGATCAGCTGCCTCTTGCACACCCCCTACTGGGGATATGCCTGCAACCAAGGTACATGCTCTTGACCGGAATCGAACCCGGGACCCTTCAGTCCCCAAGCCGACGCTCTATCCATTGAGCCAAACCGGTCTCAGCAAATTTAATAAATCTTTATTGCTCAAATTATTACAATTGTTTCTTCCCCCCCACCCCCCACCCCCCCATAGGGATGCTGGAAACTTTAGTTCTGACTTCTGTACTGAGGAGGCTGGATTATTTTTTCTTAATTTTTTAAAAAATATATACCCAAGGATATGTGTTTATTGATTTTAGAGAGACAGGAAAGAAGAGAAAGGGAAACATCAATCATTTGTTTGCTGTACACACCCCAACTGGGAATCAAACCCACAACCTGGGTATGTGCTCTGACTGGGAACTGAACCCATGATCTTTCGGTGTCTGGGACTACACTTCAACCAACTGAGCCACACTAGCCAGGGTTGAGGAGGCTGGATTTTAAAACGAGAATTTTCCCTTATAGGAAAACTATTTAAAAGGTGAAGGACGTCCGTGAATTAGTATA